GAGATGACATAAAACTCCAACAAAGATAAAAGATAGAATTTCCACCAAGATGAATATTTTTAATAGGTGGTCTGTCTTGGTATTTCATCTTTCAGCTGGCGGGATGTAAAATGAACAATAAAGAGGATCGTGTGATACCTATTGGGTAAGTTGGCAGTGTGGGTGCTCGAACGCGCTCGTGTACACACGAATCTGTACACATTCAGTACCGTTTGCTTTTATCCGACACCAACAAGGTCGAGATCTTACATTTTTCTAATTCCGAACCTGCAAATGATGTTAGTTCATTATCTGATATGGATTTGCTGTGAAATTGTAATCTAATCTTATTTCCTTGTCCCTAAGCTTAATCAGCATAAGTATGCTCAGTGCTTGTGCATGATTACATCCCGTGGCTACTATGCTTTACAAAAACTCAACACATCCTCATAGGTTAACCAAGCAATCAACTGATCAAATGAGTGATTTTTCATAGTTTTATTTTGCATTAACTTACAAACTACTCATAAGTAGTTAGTTGTGAATCAAGAGGCAAAACTATACATTCAACGTTGGCTCAGGGGCAGCAAATTACATTTCCACGGAGTACTTGGTTTATATGTCACCAAGAAATATACTTTGTCACCAATATTTTTCCCGCAAAATTATTTATTTTTAACGAACAAACTCCATAGAAGCAGCAGAAAGTACAATCACTTGTATAAATGGCGCAAATCTCACAGTATTTGGGGGTCTTGAGAAGTCGATTTTAAACCGTGTCTCAAGAAATCGTAATGAAAATGGAGTATTTTAGAGAATAAAGAAATATGTCGTGTTTAGCTCGAGACTGGTTGCCGGTTTTTTTAAAAAAATGCAATCCCGAATATTTATTCTCTATTCAGTCTTCCAGACCACGGAGAATTTCAAAGTCGGTCTGATACAATTCCCGCCTAACATCCTCAGGTTCACCCTCATTAGGAAGCTGTTTATTGTGCCTCGAAGATGAAAAAATATACTCACATTCATTCTGAATTACTTAAATTCGTAATGGTAGACCGTAGGCTCTAATTTTCCATTTGAAACTGATAGATTATTCCCACAAAGGTTTTCCGATCCGTTACAGAACTGAGAAAAAACGGATTATGGACCTTTGAGCATGTTACGTGACATGTCTGTCGGTGAAAAAATAAATAAAGATAACTTTGGAAACCACAGTTTATTATCATATATATAACCTCAATTTGACAAACTGGTTGATTATTCTTCGCTAATAGCCTACCTTTTTGATTGATTAGATAGAAAACCTAATTGTTTGCCTTTACGTAGCTCATAGGGTTAAGATCCTGAGTCTTTTGTCACACTAAGGCCTTTGTTACTGTGAGCTGGCTATTTTCGCCTCATCCTCTCACTTCTTCACATTCGATCAATTCCTTTCACTCATCTGTCTGCCAACCTTGTACAATATGGCCCGATCTGTGGCTATTTAGTCACTCGAGGAAGGATGAAATGTGCAACTTCTATATGATGTACTCCGTACCTCAAGAATACGCTTTCCAGCTGGATGACGAGGAAAATCAAGGATGTGATACAGATCTC